CCATGGTTAAGTTCTTTCATCGCAGTCTGGAGTTCATTTTTGGCACCCACGAAATTGGTACCGTTGTCGCACCTCAGTCTCTTCACAGCTCCCCTTATAGCAATAAATCTACGAAGCGCATTAATAAAGGCAGAGGTGTTCATAGAATCAATGACTTCTATATGAATAGCGGTGGTATATAAGCAAACAAATATGACTCCCCATCGCTTGGGTCCTACCACTCCACTCCTGGTTTTCCACACAGCCACGTTCCAGGGTCTAAAAACATCTATGCCGACATTGGTGAACGGTGGAGTTGCTTCTAGTCTGTCTGTTAGCAAGTCGGTCATTATTTGTGTCAGGGGTTTTGCCCTTAATCTCTTGCACACTGTACATTGATTTATGACATTTATTACCATGTTGTGTATACCAGGCACCCGATACCCTTTGGATCTGACGACACTATTGTAAACTGACGTCCTTGGTGCTGTACTTGTTGATGAACATGCTCTACTATGAGTCTGGATACATGACTGTCCTTGGGTGACAGTATGGGATGTCGTTCACCGAAATCGAAGTTTGCTTGGCCAATTCTGCCACCAACACGAATGAGTCCATCTCTGTCTATAAATGGACTTAGTTGGTAAAGTGAACTCTTTTTCGTCAAAGTTCTGTTATTTGAGGAAGATAATATGCTGTATTCTTCTGGAAAATGATCTTTCTGAAGGGTACGCAGAACAACGTTTTCAGCTTGAATCAAAATGTCTGAGGTTACCTAATGGGGTGTGTTCTTTTCTCCACGCATACCTCTCTTGTTAGCTATTGCTAAGTTTATAAGACTCGCTACGGCTCTCCTGAGTGAACTCCATTTGGAAAACCTACTAAATCTCTCTGAGCCCAAAGGATCCTGTTCGTTTTGCCTTATTAGTTTTGACTGGCTAACCAAAATTGAGAACGCTCCGGGTTGCTTGCGTACTTCAGGATCATCTTCTCGTAGTTCAAATTTGTATTTATCAGCATCGGATAGCTCTCTTTCTGGAGCATAGTCTGGTTGCCAGAGGAAACATAGTAGAAATGAGCTTGTGGGCAGGAACTGATCGGGACGCAAGGTCAGCGGGGTTCTGAGTTGAGGGTACATGACGCCACTGAACTGGAGAGGAGCAGCTATGTATTTTCTGGACACTGTTCGCCACATAAACTTGAAATCGCTTAGAATTGTTCCGGAGGTAACCTAATACTATAGTGCTATCTGTGTGATAAATCACTGTGTCGATTTCATCTTGCATTTCAGTTGTAATCACTTGCACTAGTTGTGTAGCCAATACGACTGCACAGAGTTCCAAACGGAGCACTGACACAGCATGGGTTGGATTTAATTTTCCTTTCCCGAGAAGAAATGCAACATCTACTTTGTTTTCGTGGTTCATCGAGCGTAAGTAGTCAACGGCACCTATCGCTATGTCACTGGCGTCAGAAAAGACGTGGCATTCGCGTTTTTTAACCAAACCAAAGTCTGGGGAGGTGTAACAGCGATTCAGGTGAACACGCTCGACGCTTGTCGGGCTACTGCACCACCGATCCCAACGGGGAAAGTATTTCTCTGATAAGGGGTTGTCCAAACCTACGTTTGTCTCGTCCTTCAGGAGTTCTCTGAGAATAAGTTTGCCCTCCAACGTAACTGGTGCCAGGATTCCCAAGGGATCGAATACTGAATTTACAGTCGTTAAGACTCCCCGCCGTGAAAACTGTTTCACTTTCAGTGTACCTTATGTTATGATGATTTAAATATGAGAAACCATAAAACTGAAGGACTTCCGTTTGCGCCATCTTGCCATAAAAAAAACACGCCCGCATGAGGTATAAACAGGAAAAGCAACAAAGCATAATGACGTAATAGTATCTGATTTGTGTAGGACAAATGGCAAAAGCTAATGAATTTTCACAGCTGGACTGGCCAACTCATGGTAATTTTATATATTTATTTTTAAGATGGAATTTGTAAAGTCTCAGACTCTGACAATAAATTACATCGACTGGTCTATTTTGCTGCACCTTCTAATGACGATGTCAAGCAAGATGTTTTTGCGACTTTTTTTAATGCTATCAAGTAGCATGAATGAACGCTGCTGACCAATAAAACAGACTTTTTATCTGGAATTTTCTATGCAACCTCAACACAGAGAAATGATTTGCTCAATTACACAATGTACTTTCTTTTTTTGGAAGTGTTGCATAAATGTCACCACGTATCATATTGGAATTGTTTAAATAAGTCATTGAAAATGACAGTGTCTTTGTCAAATTTATTCAACATTGTCTTTATGCGCTCAACATAAAACTTACATTTAGCAAAGAAAAACATGAATCATCTGTGGAAGAAATTAAAGCAACTTGAGGTGCATGTCTATGTCATTACACTTGGTAAAAGTATTTTTGAGAAATGATGGTGGGAGCATACCTGATATACCATGGAAGAAGTGTGCCTGATATACCATGGAGGGAGCATGCCTGATATACCATGGATGGAGCATACCTGATATACCATGGAAGAAGCATGCCTGATATACCATGGAGGGAGCATGCCTGATATACCATGGATGGAGCATACCTGATATACCATGGTGAGAAGCATACCTGATATACCATGGAGGGAGCATACCTGATATACCATGGTGGGACTATACCTGATACACCATGGTGGGAGAATACATGACATACCATGGTAGGACCATACCGG